ACTTCATCAGTTCAGAAACAAGTAAAAAAATAGGTTTCAACTGAATCAACTCAGCAGAACCTAAGTTATACAGAGTCCTGGATATATTTTCCCAATTAATAAGAATAACTGTTCTGCTGAAAATCATAGAGATGTGGGTAGAATGGACCTCTGGAGGCCTCAGGTACAACTTTCTGCTTGATCCAGGTCTGCTACCAGAAGCAGACAAGATGGTATATTAACTGACCTACATGGTATGAGCATCTAGAAACTGCCTTCTTGTCCAGGACACTGATAAAACAATACAGCTAGAAATGAGACAGTGATTACCTGTGGTGCTGTCTTCACTCTAGAGCATCTGTTTCTTCTTTTGCTGATGAATGCTTATGACAATGGATCAAAATGCCACTGTCAAGCTATGGAACAACTGTGAATGCTCCAGGGTCTGAGTCCATCCAAATGATGCTCTCAGAAGTAGAAAGTCTTTAAACAGGGTGGGTTGGTTTGGGCTGGGGTTTTCTTTGTGAAGTAGCTTTTTGCCTTTGTGTTTTTGTTTGTTTGTTTGTTTTTCTTTTGTTTGGTTGGTTTTTGTGGGTTTTTTTTGTTTGCTGTTGGTTTTTTTGCTAGTTTTTTTGTTGTTTTTTTTTTTTTTTTTTTTTTTTGAGAGCTCAGCTATGGAATAATATTTAATTTGTCAAAGTCATAGTGACTTTTAGGCCATGTCCCCTTAGAAATACTGACCTAACAATAGTACTAATCAGAAAGTATGGCATTTATAGTACCTTAATGGCATGCACCCAAAATAGATTCTAGTTATATCAGCAAGTTGACAAGCTCATAGGGTACAGATAACTCTTGTAATTAATTTCTAAAAGTCACAAGAACTGTGAAGTTGGTGTGGGTGGAGTTTACTTTTTATTGAAGTAATAAATTGTTAGACTCACATTTATCCTGGTATTACTACAGATTTACTTGAAGGTAAATTAAATCATAATCAGAAACTTCCCAACACTGTTAGGATAAAACTGTTAATTTTCCTCTCTTACATTAATGATTCTGAGAAATTTGGGTTCTAATTAGAACATGAATAGAGAACACACTGTGACCTGCTGGTTCTTCAGTGTATGCAACTTTCTGAGGTACATTATTTCTAAAACACTTCCCTTAAATAGGTCACATCACTCACTATGCTGGTACCACACATTCATTAGAGAAGCATAGGACAGCAATTCCTATAATTAAAGTTGCCCAACATTTTCATTATAAAAGCATGTTCACAGTTTCTTATTGGTTTAATAGGTTTTAATGTTCTAAAATGAAATTTTCTGTAATGGATATCTGTATCAGAATATATACTTAAATAATTGTTGTTTTTTAGACACATAATAAGTAATTACTCTGACTCTCACTTTTCAAGACTCGTGTTTGGCTCAGTTTGTAGTACATGTCTGCTTTGGGAAAGGAACGAAATTCCAGAAAGACTGGAGCTAAGTCAGCCATGCTGTATATCCCTGAAAATTACAGTTCTTGTGTGAATAGAGACATGCTAATTCTTTTGGCTAAATTCTCTGCAAATTGTCTGCACCAAATGTTCTCCAGGGAAAAGGCAGAGACAAGGTCTAGAACCACACACAGACTCAGGCTGCCATGTGGACATCATGCAGCTGTCAGCACTAATGTCCAGCCCTGTAAGCTCCCAATGGACATGCACAAAATAAAAAAAATCTTGCAAAGCTATTCAAAGTCTCAGGTCATGATCAGATGATATGCTAAAATCAGCTTTAATTCATCTGGGATCAAATTAAAAATGCTGCAGTCCCAGATATCTGTGGATTCCATGGCTGGCGCACTACCCTCAGGGAAAACAGGAATGACTTGTTCAGGACCATGCAGCTTATTGACTAATGGTAAGTTTATTTAAGCCAGGTAAGCATGACAGGACCCAACTCAGGTGAAAAGCAAGACTCTTAATGATATTTTCTGCCGTGGTAGCTGGAGAGTGAGAGGTTAAACAGAGCCTCCTGCTGCTTAAAGTACCGCCTGGAATGCAGACCTGGTAGTAACTGATCTCCAGGAACTTTTAAAGCTGATGGAATGTGTCTGTTCAGTAACATCAGCCAGCTTTCAGCCCCCTCCCACACAGCCCACTGGATCCCATGGACTCGGGTGGTGTCTTGGTTTGAACAGACAGGTGTCGGCTAAGGAAGTCAGGAGCCTCCCCTGAAACAGAAAATGTAAACTCCCTCCCTCCAGATTGTTATAATTTTGAAATTAAGGGGGCTCTCAGGCAAAGATATGGGAGCAGGAATAACAGTTCTTTATTAGGGAAAGAAAATAAAAATAAAATAAACAATGCAGTTATACAAAACAACACTGACAGAGTGAAAATACAACCAGACACTTTGTGGGTCAGGGTGTTGGTAGCAGTTCAGTTGAAATGGTGGCTGCAGTCCTCCTGGAGTGACAGATGTGGTTCTGTTGAAGCGGTGATCCTGTAGAAGGCTGTAGTCTTCCTCTGAAGATACAGTGGTGGTGTAGATGAGCCTGGTCTTCCTCTGGGAATCCAGTCAAAAAGGCTGCCCTGATGTCCCAGATTATATATTATCAGAGATTATATCCAGGTAGGAATGCTTGGCTCCTCCCCCTGGGCAGAGCATCTCACAATGGGATGCTATCATTTTTATCAGTCATGCAGTGACGCTCAATAACCCATTAACAGCAGCTGTCTCCCCATAGGGAGGATTGGTTTGTGGAAGAAATAAAGAAAACTGCCCAATTAACAGAAGATAACTGCCACACATCTAACAGATGGGAATAGAATACACACATTATCTTGCAATCTAATACAGGTGGGCTGAGAATTCCCAAGAGATTTTTGACTTGATCTTGTCTCTGAATCCTGTCTCAAAGCTCAGAGACCCGAGCTTGGTGAAACTAACTTGGTGGAAAGTAAGACCAGGAAAGCTTTTGAAGTCCCTTGCCAAGTCCCTTGGCAGTCCCTTGAAGTCCCTTTCGAAGTCCAAAGGTCAACCCTAATTGACCTTTGGACTTCCTAATACCATCTCTGCATGCTAAAGAAGTATTCCTGTATTCCACTTCAGTAGTCTGTCCTTGCTTCCATCCCATGTATAGTTTTTTTGTGTTAATTGACAGGTTCTATATTTACCAAATTAGTCTCCCAACACTTACTCCTCTGATTGCTGGGACAAACTATTCTTTGGCTTGGAGGAAGTCCTTAACACACTGCCAGCTCTTTTGAGCTCCTTTGTTCTTCAGAGCTAACTCTCACAGAATCTTCACTTGAATAACCCAGTCATTGTCTTGAAGGGGCTGCAGTCTGCCATTTATCTTTGTCATGCCTCTCAGAACTGTGAATGCCACAATTTCATGACTGTTACAACCAACATGACCATGGATTAACATGTCCCCAAACATTCCTCTCTTGGTCATGAGTACCAGGTACAGCTGGGTGTCCAGTTGAACTAGATGGCTATCTAGCAAGTGTGGTAAGAATTTTTCCCTGTTTAGAAAACACCTGGATTTCCTGTGCCCACTGTCTTGCAAATTCAACTGATAATGCAGCTTGCACTGCAAGCAATCATAAAATTCCAAAGAGTATTGCCTGATCTATGGAAGTATTCCGTCATATGCTGAAGATGGACATTTACTTACAGATAGGTATTTTGTATTTAAAAATAGGTATCCTGTGTGGTGTGGTCAACATGCTGGAGGGAAGGGATACCATGTAGAAGAACATGGAGAGGTGGAGAGGTGGGACTTACAAACTTTTACAAAGCCAACTGCAGTTCCTGCAAGTGTGTCAGGGCAATCCCAAGAACAAACACAGGCTGAGGGGAGAAAGGATTGAGAAAAGGCATGGGAAGAAGGACTTGTAGGGGCAGGTAGATAAGAAGCTCAACATGCCCCAGCCAAAGGCACTGGCACACAAAACCCCTCTGCCAGGCTCATTGTCCAGCATGGGCAGCAGGGGAGGGGGCTTCTGCCCTCTGCCCCACTTAGATGAGACCCCACCTGAAGAGCTGCTTCCAGCCCTAGGGAATATCAGAAGGATGTGGAGCTGCTAGAGTCAGTCCAGAAGAGACCACAGAGATGCTCTGAGGGCTGGAGCCCCTCTGCTCTGGAGCCACACTGGGAAAGCTGGAGGTGTTCACTTGGAGAAGGCTCTGAAGAGACCTTATAGCCTGTTCCAGTACCTAAAGGGGCTCCAAGAGAGCTGGAGAGACTTTGGACAGGAGTCTAGAATGACAGGACAAGGGGGAATGGCTTCCCACTGCAAGAAGACAGGGTTAGGTGGGGCTATCTGGTCTAGAGAAAGGTGTCCCTTTCTATGGAAATGAGGGGAATGAGGTGGGTTTTAAGGTTCTTTGGAACCCAAACCATTCAGTGATGATTCTGGTTTGTTTTGTTTTTTTTTTTCTTCTTTTTTTCATTAATACCATTCATTTACTCCTAACAAGTATTGTCAGTTTTGCTGTTATATTCCTGATGGACGATTCTCCTAACAGGCAAACCAGATGGTTTCAATGGATGGGACTTACAAAAGGAATCAAGAGCCTGGCCCTTGGATTCTACCTTCAGCTAGTGTGATGGCTTGTGAGGGATGTAGTCAAATAAAGGGCATCGTGCATGCTGCTGTTAAATGAACCTTGAAACAATCCATAGGGGTAAGACGAGAACCATTAATTGCTAAGTTTATAGCCCCTGTGCCAGCTGCTGTTGAACGCAGGACGAGGCACCAGCAGCAGCTCATGGTCTGCCCGCCTGGGCTCCGCAGCCACGGGAGGACGGCAAGGCCGCGCACGGGACGGAGCCGTTCCGACCGCCGCGATACACACGGTGCGCGGGTCGCAGGGAGCGACCGGGCCAAGGCAGGCCTCACAACGAGTCGGCCCACGGGGACGCTGCCCAGAAAGCCCTCACGGCGCTGCAGAACCGATGCGGAACGCATGAGCCCACGGGAACCCCACCGGGCACCGCGCGTCAGCCAGAGGCGGCCCCGCCCTCCGCGCATGCGCGGCGCGGCCGTGACTCGGGGCGTGCGCGGCGCGCGCGGCCCGCGATGAGCGCTGCCGTCCGGCTGCGCGGTGCATTGTGGGCGCGGCTGAGGAAGTAAAATGGCGGACCTGGCGAACGAGGGTAGGTGGGAGCTGCAGGCGTCGCTACTCTGGCCCACAGTGGCCTTGTGCTGCCGTGGGCCTAGACTGGTCCGGCCCGGCGATCCGCGTTCAGGGGCCGGGCCGGGAGCGCCGCTTCCCCTCAGCCGTCCCGGTCCCAGTGGGGAAAGCGGCCGGACAAAAGGAGCCCCTTGGCCGGGTCACCGCGCTGTCCGCGAGGCGCGGGCGGACGAAGCCAGGCTGGGGCCTACGTCCTGAGGTGCCTCCCGCGGGTCGGTGGTTCTGGGCTCACGATGCGGCTACTCCCGGGGCAGGTGGCCCGGGGCCCGTGCTCCCTGGACGTGGGCCCGGCGCTGGGCACGGGCCCTGGAGCACAGTAGCGAGCGCTGCGTCTTGGCCCCGGCTCTGAACCGCTTTGTGCCCCGCCATGTCCAGTTGCTTTTTGAAGTTATTGTCCACAGCTTTCGTACCACTGTAGCTCTTTCCTTTGCTTACACTCATGTTAATCCTTTAGTTAAAGGATTAATAGAAGGCCTGTGTAAAGCAGGGTATCATAGTAGATGCATTGTGGTTTTTTAAAGCTGAAAATATCAGAGGTGGGCTAGTAAAGTGGCTTCATTTTTTTCTGAAGAGCATTAGAAGAACTTGGTCTACAATACTGCAGTATTTGGGTATTCTGCCCCAAGGTGTGTACAGTGGTGTTTCAAGTGGCAGTGGGTATCCATATTTTGCCTTTGGGAATGACAAATGTCTCTCGGGGTTTTGGCAAAAGCTAGTTTGCTGTGTTGTCTCATCATTCTTCTCAGGTAATGAAAGAGGGAGAGATACCCAGAGTCAGGTGAATGAAAATGTTTGTGTGGCTCCTTCTTTCAGGACAGTTTCTTTCTTTTGAACTCTGTGTCAGTGGCAATTACTGTTCTGATATTAACATTAAGCAATAGGCAGCAAATAAATGTTTGTGCAGCCTTTGAAGATGAAGCCTGCAAACAGCTAGCAATATAATTACACTTAAGTTAACAAATCCTATGGTGCAGCATGCCTTGGGCTGTTGGCTTCCAGACTCAAGGTGAGTTGTCAGTGCCTGAGGAGACATGATAAGTGGTCTCAAGAATAGTAGTAGCCAAATCTGTAATGAGTATTTGTGAGAAACTTAACATCAGTACTTATTTTATATACTGCTATTATAATACATTTTAATGGGTTCTTTTGTTCTCTTAGAATCAGAAGCTTGGCAATACCTATCTTAAGTCATGCAAACCCCTCACTTTACCTCCCCTTTCTGCTGGGGAGCATTAAGCTCAACAGTTTACCGATATTTATTACATCTTTTGGTGATGACTTGTCGTGTGCTTCTATCTCTACTTCTTTTTTCCTGCAGGGTCTTGTAGACTGCCTGGGATGGCAAGGGGGAGTGTGATCCCATCCTTACAATCCTTTCCTGCCTCCAGAGACTTAACTTCACCTGTAAAAACCTCTTTAGTTTATACTCGCCTTTCTTCCACAGTTGTCACCTTCATCTGTTGCTGTTCTGTTTCTTCTTGCAATAAGAATGTGATACAATCTTTCCTCAGATGAAGCAAGATCGTCTTGCTTTGGAACTGTTGTCCCCTCCTTCTAATATCATTGACTGTTGCTAGTTTTGTTCCTTTCAGTGCCATTTTTGAGGTGTATATTCTTTGTATAACAGTGGAAATATGTTCACTTCCCGGAATTCCCATCTTTCTGCTGAAACTCAGAGAATTCTATAGTCTTTCTACATGGCTTATTTGCAGACTCTGTCATGGCAAGGATCTTCTCAGGTGACTGTTATCTCCTCGTTCTTAAACACATCAGTTAGTTTATTTTTCCGTTGTTTAGGTGGATTCTTTACTTCCTTGTGCCCAGGTATTTTCATCTAAATATGTGAAATAACTATTTTGGTACTGTTAATTCTTTTACCTTCTGCTTCATATTGGTCTTCTGTTGTTTATACCATTTGATAGCTCAATGTTCATGTTTACAAAAAAGTGTGATTTCAGCAAAGTTCTTAACTTTACTGAATCTCAGTTGATCTGTACAACTGTGCTGTCTCAATCATACTTCGTTCTGAGGTGTGAAGCTAATTATTCTTTGACACACAGTCGATACAAGTACCTAGAATGAGGTTTCAGTCATTCTTGCAGACTGTTTTTGTTTGGTGTGTTTAAGCAGTAGTTTTTATTGTCTGTTCATGCAGGTGAAGCTCAAGATTTTTACCTGTTTGATTACTGCAACAAACCTTTTCCCGGCCTTGAGAAGTGCCGAGATTTGTGTGTCTTGTGTCCTCCCATCTTACTAATATAAAGCTCTTTTAACCTGTAACTTTTACCATGACACCCGTCTTTAAATTCACTGATTGGTGTTTCTGTTTCCAACAGTATATTAGTTATCTTTACCTTCTAGGTTTTGATGCTCTTAAACCGTTGTATGTCTTACATCACTGCTGAGCTGTCAGTACTACCTCCAAGTAACAATTCTGCCAATGTCTTTTGCAATTTTGAGCTATTTTAATGGATGATCTTTTTGTGATGCATTTTGTCAAAACCACAAGCATTCTCTCTAATAATTACTTCATTGTTTTTCATTCTTGTTGTTCCTCAAGTCTTTTTCATCCACTTGTCTTTGTTTCTAATGAGTAGGTGAAACTGCTCCCCTACCTCTTTATATTGGAGTAATGACCAACTAACTGTATCTTGACAAGAGAAGGCTGTTGGTTTAAGAGGGCCCTCTACTACTTAGGAGGGGGCTAAAAGATGACACAGTTGCAGTGCCACTTACCAAAGAAGTTTGTACTGTGAAGTTTCCTGGGAACACATCCTGGTCTTGGCATTGCCTGTCATGGTGGCAGATGAGTTGATAAGTGTGGAGCTAATGAAGAGGAGGAGGGAGTAGTTTCTCCCTGGCTGTGTGAAGTTTGATCGACTTTGCTGCAAAGATTTAATGACATTGTGGTAAAGGTATTGGGGACTGTCGTTATGAGGGTGATTATTGAAAACCAGGGGTTTAGACTGGTAAGAACAATTGTTATTGGTACTAATATATAAAGTAGTTACTGAATGTTCTTAGAAACTTTCTTTGAAGTCTTTGGTACTTGACTGCCACATGCGTGAAGTGTCAGTGTTAAGACAATCCAGCTAGAATACCAAAGAGAACTAGCACCTTACTGTTGGTCCTATATTTTTATGGGAACCAGAATGCTTTTCTCATTAACTTGCAGCTAAAACACAACTAGTAGTTTGCTTGTCTGTAACTTACTGCTGAAGCTGCATTTTTAAGACAACAAGCTCCCCTTGTGTGGGGAATGAATTACTTGATGTTTTCAATGGCTGAAAAGCGGTACAAATTTTTCTCAGGGCTAAAATTTGATGGATGTGTACACATTTTCCTTTCACGAGGTGTCTGGGACTTACTTGGCTTTATGAAATTGCTGAGCATACAGCACAATCGTAACAGGTTTACTATATGTACCTGCCTTGATTTAATTAGAGGCTAAAGAGCAGTGGCGCAGGAAGGGACCTGGGGGTTCTGGTTGATGGCAAGTTGGATCTGAGTCAGCAGTGCCCTGGAGCCAGGATGGCCAACCATCTCCTTAGAAGCATCTGGTCAACTGGGTGAGGGAGGGGATTTGTCTCTCTGCTCTGTACTGAGGCAGCTTCATCTTGAGTTTTAGGGGCAGTTTTGCGCACCACAGTATAAAAAAGACATTAAGCTAATAGAGAAGTGTCCAAAGAAGGGCCACAAGGATGGGGAAGGGTCTAGAGGGGAAGTTGTATGAAGAGCTGCTGAGGGCACTTGGTTTGTTCAGCCTGGAGAAGAGGAGACTAAGTCTTGCAGTCTTCAACCTCCTCACAAGAGGTAGGTACCAGTCTGTACACTCTCATGACCAATGAGAGAGCTTAAGGAATCAGCATGGATCTGAGTCGGCAGGTTTAGCCTGGATACCAGGAAAAGGTTTTCCACCAAGAGGGAGGTTGATCACACAAGGCTTCTCAGGGCAGTGAACTGAGAAGCACCAAGCTGAGTTCAAGAAGCGTTTGGACAATGCTTTGTTACATGGTGGCCTTTTTGGGGTGCCCTGTTTTCCTGGTTTAGGGCAAATTTGGGAGAAAACCTCTGAAGGGGTTCCTTTAGAAAGCAGATTCAAGCTGCCCTCTCCTAACTGGTTCATGAAAATGTTCCCTTGGAGAAAAGTGGAAAAAAACCCTGTTTATTTAACAGGCAAAGCATTTGCCAGCACAAAAATTGAACAATATTAAACAATAGAACCTTGCCACTCTGAAGAAATGATAAACTCAAAGTCTTCTTTGTGTGTTGTAGCTCAGCTCACTCAGTGTCTTATCAGTCCCTCCAGTGCTGGAAATGCCACAGCCCAGGCCCAGCCCCATGGGCCACAGATGCAAGCTGCCAGTGCTCTTTTGGGTGTTCAGTCCAGAGCAGGTTTGAACAGTTCCAAGAAAAAAGAAAAACCACAGTCCAGGGAACTTGTCTGGCTCAGTGAGCTAAAAACTAACTAAAAGCAAGGGAAAGATCTGTCCCACTATCTGTCTGTACTGCAGACAGCACAGTCCAGGAGAAGGATGCGGGGGAGCAAGTGCAATTTCTGATAATAAACTCCAGGGTTCTTCTCTCTCCCTCTTTGCTCTTGGAACTGGTCTTAATGGTGCAGAACTTATTTCTAGGCTAAACAGACTAATGGGGATACAAATATCATAAAGTCATTTCAGGACACTTCACCCCTTATCCCCATATAGTCAGCTTACTACCAAAATTAGTATATATTCTAACTCAGCACTTGTGTATATTTATATACACATACACATTATACAGCTATATACAGACAATGGCAATGACATTCATCAGACAGTGATATTTACACATAGTTCTCACCCCACAATCAGATCTCCCTGAGGTACACGTCATGTTGTTCCATCTTTCTGCATTCTCCACCATGTACAACCTAGTCCCTAAGCAAAGACAACCCCACGAATGGGTTTGTCTGTACTC